GATTCTCATATAACAACTTTGTCATCCCAAAATTTACATTAAAGTTAAATTCATACTCAATCCAACACCGCGGACCTATTTTGTGGAAAATTTTTCCCCAGATTGTTTCTATCAAAAGAAATACACTTAAGCAGTTCAAATCTGAATCAAAGCGTTTTTTATCATCTACGGACTTAAATTTTCTTTTTCTTTTTTAGTATAAAATATTTATTTTATAATTTGTTTCTTTTATTTGTTTTAACATTTACTTGTTCTAAATTTATTTTACTAAACGAATTTATATATAAACAGTTATATCAATTATAAAACGTAGTTTTTCACATTTTTACATATTTTATCACAAACAATTTATCACGCTTTTATATATTTTTTTGTAAAAAACGACCTGTAATGAAGTCACTATGGGGCTCGGTGATAAGACAAACTGATGTCTTCTTCTTGCTCCAGCCATTTGTTTTATTATTTATGTTATTTTATAAATTGTAACTTTCTACGGCAAAAAATTGAAAAAAAAAATAAATAAAATAAAATAAATAAATAAATAAATAAAAGAGGTTGTTGATTTTAAATATGGAACTAGGTATAACGAAGTTGTTAAGATCAAGATTATAGTCATGCAAACGTGAAGACCAAAGTTACTTCTATTATCGGAGGTAGGTCAAGTATATACTGCTACATCCAATTCACTTAAAATGTGCGTACCTAAATGACAAAATTGAGCAAGCTAAATTTTATATACACCAACGCTTGTTCTTCGGACTACAAAATGTATGACTTTAAAGCTTGCATAAAGTCAGTTTAAAGCTTGTATAAAGTCAGAAAAAATAGACATTGTTTTAACAACTGAAACTTTACTTAAAAAAACTTTCTATAGCCACAGTAGAAAACTACTAAAATTAAGCAAAGATAGAGGAGGTAGAGTGGCTATTTTTATCAGAACTAATATATTAGCGCATGAAATAGACGAATTCTTAGTAAATGCAGAATCTAAACAAATATGATGCTGTTTAAAAGTTGATAAAGTTAAAATTTAAGTTAGGTGCGTTTATATAACATCTAATTCTGATGTTATCATAAATCGAAAAATTAATGAAACATTTATAATGCTATTAAAATGGTCTTAAGTGGTAAGTACATTACAATTTTATCAGCAGACCGAACTTTTATCGGAGCTCGGAAAACGAAGCAAACATAATGGATCTACTTATTAAAAATGAAGAAACTAAAATTTTAGATATAAATATAAAACCTCATTTAAGCAAAACAAAGCAAGGCCATTTTATAATAATATGGTATTACAATATTATTATATATATTAGAGTTTTTGATAAAAGAAAGTTTAATTATTTAAGAGGAGTTTGTAAATCCTACAACAGGTTTATTAAAAACTGTGGATTACCTTGTTTTTAGAATGTGAGATTACCAAATGTTTTAAAGTCTTTTCGAGAATATAAAATAATGGTTGATTAAAGTTTATCAAGAAAAGATAGGTAATAGGGCGTATTTATAAATTTTGATTTATAAGCAAATTCAAGTATTTGGTAAAAGAAAAAATTTCCAAATGGCAAAAATATGTAGACAGAGGCAAAAAATTTGAGATTCTCGATGATGATAAAAATTTACAAAAACTTACATCAAAACAAATAAAAGAGCGGCGATGGAGTATGAAGGAAAAAAACATCCAACTGCAAAAATTATCCTAAATTATTCTCTTCTTATGTAAACAATATATATAAGCCACAAGATTCTGTAGTATTTATTGAAAATAATCCTAAAAAATTAACTCCTAATTGAAGAGAGATATTATTTTAAGCAACAACTTCCGTAATTCCGTAAATCGGTTGTTGAGGACAACAGTTCAGAAAGTTATTGTTTGCATATAAGGACAAACTTTATCAATCTGTAAACCGTACATATCCCGGTGAGAAATCGGCTAACGAATAGCTAGCTATAATCGTTACGATAAAGACAGCGATTTAGCTTAAAGGATTGCTAGCTTTTTTAAGTTTGCGAAAAGCTATCGATATTTTTGAAGATAAAGACAGCGATTGGCTACAAGGACAGCTAGCTTAATAAGCTGAAGATCCACTGGCTATTGTACCTAGCGTCATATCAAAAGAAAATCGCTGTCTAAAAAAATTTTGATATGTAGCTAACAACCAGCTAAAGATTTGTAGATATTTTGTAGCTAGCTACAAAACTAGGATATGTAGCTAGCGACACATTGCTACAAAATCGCAATGTTTAAAGTTCAATTGTTTGATAATTACAATAGACTCTATTATAAATAAGAAAATAAAATAAGAAAAAAAAATCGCTATAAAAAAAATTGCTAGCTAGTCGCTAGCTAGTCGCTAGCTAGTCGCTAGCTAGTCGCTAGCTAGTCGCTAGCTAGTCGCTAGCTAGTCGCTAGCTAGTCGCTAGCTAGTCGCTAGCTAGTCGCTAGCTAGTCGCTAGCTAGTCGCTAGCTAGTCGCTAGCTAGTCGCTAGCTAGTCGCTAGCTAGTCGCTAGCTAGTCGCTAGCTAGTCGCTAGCTAGTCGCTAGCTAGTCGCTAGCTAGTCGCTAGCTAGTCGCTAGCTAGTCGCTAGCTAGTCGCTAGCTAGTCGCTAGCTAGTCGCTAGCTAGTCGCTAGCTAGTCGCTAGCTAGTCGCTAGCTAGTCGCTAGCTAGTCGCTAGCTAGTCGCTAGCTAGTCGCTAGCTAGTCGCTAGCTAGTCGCTAGCTAGTCGCTAGCTAGTCGCTAGCTAGTCGCTAACTCACTTCCCACCGGGATTGATAAAGTTTAATGCACAATAGTTCATAAAACTATAGTTTGTATAAAAGGACAAACAATTATCAATCTGTAAACCGTATTTTACTTTAAAAACGTTTTAAGAAAAGTTGCATTATTAAATCATTATAAATCTATGGGTTATGATTTCATTCATACAGAAGAATAAAAAAATTTGGCCTTAAATATTTCAGCACCCCTTTCTTTGTTGTTTATCAAATTGTTAATACTTTGTAAGTTAATGAAAAGTTTGATAAAGCCTATATAACAAACTAATTAATCCGAACTAGCACGGATTAGAAATTATTTATAAATTAGACAAAAATGAAAAATTAGAGAAATATAGATCATCATTCAATGAAATAGATTTGTGCTTTTCTGGCCAATCGAAAACAAAGAGTCACATTAAGAGAATCTAAATCAAATTGGATACAAGTACCTAGTGGAATACCTCAGGATTGGTGCTGAGAACCAAATTATTTTTTCTATATATTAATGATATGTTGGACAATATTACATGCTACTGCAAAACATTTTTCAGATGATACAAAGATGCTTAAAACGAAGAAAAATGTGATGTAATGCCCTTTGGTCAAAATAAATACAATTATAGATACGAACTAAATGAACATAAAATGCAAAAAAATGAAAAGAAAAAATGACTTAAGTGTATTGTTCTCAAAAGACCTTAAATGAAATGAACATAATACAACTGTAATTTATGAAGCAGACCGTTTTTTAGGAATAATAAGAAAAACGTTTAAAAGAAGTAAACATTCGTAATAAGACAGTTGTATCTATCATAAGTATGAACACACTTGGAATATGCAATGCCTCTTTAGCGTCCGTACTTAAATGGTGACATTAACTTTTATACCGCTACGTTTCACACTTCATACCATTGTTGCTTGCAAACTGTACAAACAACAGAATTTGCTACAACACTTTTTTCTACAACTTAAAAACAAGTTAGGCAATGATTATTTTAGAAACAATCTATTTGAAGGCTATTAAAATGTGTCTTAATACTGCATTCCATTTTTTTTTTATAAAATCATAGCTATTACCTTGTGTAACTACTATTATTAACATTGTTTTCATGCCATACAACCTAACAGTTAGGACATCTAGAGCTTATAATTTTACTTTAATTTTATATGATGCAGCGCGTGCAATTAGGAATTTTATATGATGCAGCGCGTGCAATTAGGAATTAGGAAAATTTTTAAAACTTTGCCTAAACATATTTTACTCTTCCCAGTGGGAAGCCGGCTAGTGAAAAGCTAGCTATAATTGTAACGATAAAGACGGCGATTTGGCCACGAGGATCGCTAGCTTTTTTAAGTTAGCGAAAAGCTATCGATATTTGTAAAGATAAAGACAGAAATTAGGCTACGAGGACTGCTAGTTTATTCAGCTAAAGACCTACTGGCTATTGTAGCTAGCGTCAAAATAATATCGTTGTCTAAAAATTTTTTACATGTAGCTATCAATCAGCTATAGATTTGTAGATAATCAATCAGCTATAGATTTGTAGCTAGCTAGAAAGCTACAATATGTAGCTAGCAACATATTGCTACAAAATCGCAATGTTTAAAGTTTAAATTAATTATCTTCATAAATATAACAGACTTACCACTAAAAATCGAATTTAAAGTAATATAGTTGTAAAAGTCATTAAAAAAAATTAAAATTGGAAAAAAAAAATCGCTTAAAAATTGCTTTAAAGCTAGCTAGTCACTCGCTAGTCGCTAGCTCATTGCCCACCGGGTTGCTTTTTATAATTTTCTATATTCCACCAGTTTAGTGATAAAAAAATTTACATCAAACAAATTTTTATTTTCTGCATTATTTACTTTAACTTCGTTTTTGATTTCTTTACTATATTTACTAAAAGTTCATTTTTTAAAATCAAATCACAATTTACTACACTCCGAGGTTGCTCTCTAGTATTTGTTTTTGAAACTTTTGACTTAAGCATGTATAACTTATTTATTCAAATCTATCTGAGGACTTTTTTGCTTCCATTTTTTCAATCCTACAGAAATTAAATCTTCCTAATAAGTCTTAAACAGATAAAACTGCAGAAAAGAGAAGTGTAGACAAATAGTTTTTATTACAGTTTCTTACTGCTCTGTTTTTTAAGAACATTAAAAACTTTTATTCTTAGTTACTACAATATTTGTGATTTTAATTACAGAATACATTCTTAATTTTTAATTTTTTTTCAGCAATCAATGAGTATTGCGCTGAAGGTTGGACAAGTTATAAAATTTATTGCTACTTTATTCGCAGTTTAAATGAATTTAGTGGAGATAATTGGTTTAATTCTTTTTCATCGTGTCAGTCTATGGGAGGGAATTTGCTAAGTATAGAAAATCAAGAAGAAAATCAGTTTATTCAAAATGATTTAATCAAAGATAATGGTGGTTACTGGATTGGTAATAAGCTTACATTTTTCACACTCCATGTTCAAATATGTTTTAAACAGAATATAAATTATTTGTTTCTTAAATAGGCCTTAATAAAGTCTGGAATGGTTATCTTGATAAAAACAAAAGATTTGAATGGTCTGATAAAACATACACACAGTTCTTTAATTGGATAGAAAATCAACCAGACAATGTTGACAGTATTGAAAGTTGTGTAGAAATGAACTCTAATGGTTGGAATGATAAAGAATGCAAACTTCTGAATGGATTTATTTGTAAAACTAAAAAAGGTTTTATTGTTATTTATCCGGGTCAAAAAATATTGATATTACATATCAATGTGAGTAACCCATCTCCCATATCAAGTTTCACTCTTTTTAGTGTCTCATTTTGATTATAATGTTTATATGTGTCATATATATATATATATATATATATATATATATATATATATATATATATATATATATATATATATATATATATATATATATATATATATATATATATATATATATATATATATATATATATATATATATATATATATATATATATATATATATATATATATGTATATGTATATTTAAAGTACTGATCAAAATTATAGCACAAATGTAAAATAAAAATTTAATGATAAAAATTTGATGGAGAGTCGAATGAAAAGTTATAACTATTTTTTTATCTAAAGAATAACATTTTGCTTTGTACAAAAATGTGCGAAAATTGAAAATACATTTAAAGTTAAAAAGCTTTAAAGTTCACCTAGGAATAATAAGGAAAAATAAGCTGGTCAAAATTATAGCACATAGTGCTAGTTTTGGATAAAAAAATAATAAAATTTGATTTAATATGAAGAAATGTTTGATCATTTACCACCAAAAATTAAACAAATACAATCTGAAAAAAAATATATACAAATTTAATGCAAAGATCAATTGAAGTGTCGCCCAAATGTCTTGAATTGCATCCTTTAAGTCATTTGTGTTGCTTATGTTGTAATTTTTGAGTTTTTGGTTAGTAATTAACTAAAGATTTTTTAGCAGATTTGCATCTAGTGAAGTGGGTGTCTATTCCGAATATTTTTGTTTGAAAACTATTCAGAGTGTTCCTTTGTGACACAATGCACTGTCTTGCATAAAATAACGATTTTCAGCTTCAGAATCAAAAAGAATGTGAAAAGGTAATTCAGCTCTAACTTCTAAATAACAAGAACCATTAAAACAACCTTCGTAAAACTTCAATAAACTTATTCCATTTGCAGAAAAACATCTCCTTAAAAAAAAAGTTTTATCACCTCCTTGTGGTCTTGTTCTAAAATTAAATGATGAATCTTTTTCATAAGGAAGAAGACGTACAAACTTACGGTTCTTTTTATTTATAATTTCAAAATGTGGTTCGTCTCTAAATATTACATTATGCCATTAATTTGGAGTCTAATTAACGTTTTTACACCAAGTGAGTCTTTTCTTTTTTTAACCCTTAATTCGATAACAACATCGTTTCTGTGTGTAACTTTTCAACCCTTTTTCTAACAAACAATGACGAACTGTTCATGTGCTAATATTTTTTTCTTTCGCAGCATTCAACTCCATAGCAATTTTTCTACTTGAATTTGTACAATTTCTTTTTTAGCAAGTGTCACTAAATGGAGGTCTTCTGTAAAATTATTGCATCCACGACGTCCATGACTTGGTTGATTTTTTATTCGTAAATTCAATTTAATTTTATCAGTAGTATTGTAGACAAATTTTTTGGATGTTTTAGCACGTTTAGCAATATCAGCAATGTTATATTGCTGTTGAAGTAAGTTTTTTACAAGTTGTCGCCGCTTAGAGCTCACTGCTTTGCGGTCCATTGCACAAATTAGGTTTTCATTTTAAAATATCTAAAAAAATTTTGAAAAATTTTAAGATATTATATCGTTATTTTATATAATTATATCGCTGTTTTAAATAATTAACTATGATGCTAGTAGTAAATAAAATAAAATATATAACAATGCATCAATGCATTTAATCATACACACTTTAAAAATTATATGTAAAAATTATACATACATTTTTTTTTTAAAACTAAATAATAGCAGCTGGTAGTTGAACAAACATGGTTTCAATTTTCACGCTTATGGCAATCATCAGATATTACAAACAACTTTTTACGATAAAAAATTTTAACTACAAAAATACTATGCAGCGTCCGCTTTGGTGACGTTAAATTTCTTCATAAATTTTTTTTTTTTTTCTCCATTTATTTAACCATAACTAATGGAAATTTACAATGATAAATTATAAATTTACATAAGTTTGGTTAGGTGTCACTCATATAGTTGAAAACTAGTCAATAGAGTGACACCTAAAAAAAAAGAAAAAAGAAAATAGGAAAGAAAGATAAGCAACAATAACAATAAAAAAGAAAGTTAAATATAATAATATTTATAAAAATAATAGTAGTAACAATAATATGAATAAAAATACTATAAAAAATAATAACTGCAATATAACAACTTAAAAAGAATTATAAATGATAAAGCAATAGTAAGATAATTATAGTATTGTTAATAATTATAAAATAAACAATTTAAAGAATAGTTATAACAATTATGATAAAGCTACTGCAACTACTGAACTACTTTGACTATCATTATAGGTAATAATATTAAGGCAACAAAAACTAAGATAAATAAATAATAATAGCAATAACAATAATAAAAATAGTAGTAGTAACAATGTAAAGAATAATAACAACAATAAAAAAAAAATAAAAAAAATAAAAATAAGTGTAATTAATTTAATAGTATATTGAAGGAATAATAATAAAAGATAGCATTAATATTCTTTAGATATTTGCTCACATAAAAATTTCTTAATTAGGTTTCTATTGAGAAGAAGAAAGTTTGTAACAAAAGGGTATTTAGTTAAAATCTTTTTGTTTTAATAGCAACACTTTGATACCAGCTCATTTATTTTGTTTAATAATTTTTTTTTAAT